CAAAAGAGCAATTAATATCTACCATGAAGTCACAAACTCAGGCAGTTTAGCAGGGGGAATACAAAGTGAGGGCTTCAGTGGCAGACAAATTTTTTTAATATTTTGCATATTATAAGCATTGTTGTATGGAGATAGACTACTAAAATGCCTTAAGGAGAAACATTAAAACTGAGTTTGTGGCCTATGCTTCCATACATATGTTTTAGATACATATATATATAAAATATACATGTGTATATTTTGGGGTGAACTGCCCTATTAGCAAGGGCTGGCAGTATATGCACAAGTAGAGATTTTTGTCCAGAAAGCAGAGACCTCAACATGTAGATCCCCAAAGCAGGACCCTGGAGCAAGGGAACTGTTTTCCTTATTCTCCAAACACAAGCTAAAAGGGGATGAAATGGACCTGCTGGTGAGGAGACCTGCTTTTACCTTATCACCTGCAAAGCATTTACACAGCTCTCCAAAGATATCTGTACCACTGCAGGTTCCCACTGCAGCCCTGGAGGCTGATCTTGGCAGTAGTATCAAGCATCTCCCATCTGTGCCAAAGAAAAGTTAAATTCTACAAACCCCAAAGGCAGACAAAGAAGGAGAGAGAGGTGTAAGAAGTCCAGCAGATTTCTGTCATGCTATGTACTTGGTGTGACAACGCTCAGGAGGAAGGGGATGTGCAGCAACCTCATCCCTGGGAGCATTTGCATGCAGCAGCAGGGACAGGGACCCAGAGCACATCCCCAGTTTAGGTTCCATCAGCCTGTGACCTGGTGCATCACATCAGAACCATGACAGCAAGTGTCACATCCACGCACCGAGGAACGCCAACAAGCACCATGGAGGGCCAGAGGGAAGAAATGTTCACCCTTCACTCTCCACCTTCCATCTGCCTAGTGAGACTTGCAGAGGGCTGGGTGTCAGCTGCCCACCAGAAATGTTTTCAATCCTGCAAGAACTGGTAATATTTTCAGTGGAACTGATTTGCAATTCCGTGGGCCGGTGCTGGCCCTGAGCCGCCTGTGCTGCCTCCTGAGGATGCTCCTGTGCTGCTGCTCCCATGGAGGACACACAGAGCCTGTTCTGCCTCCTGAGGATGCTCCTGTGCTCCTCTCCCATGGAGCACACACACACCAGCCTGTGCTGCCTCCTCAGAATGCTTCTGTTCTGCCTCCTAAGGAGGCTCCTGTGCTCCTCTCCCATGGAGGACACACACCAGCCACAGCTACTGTAGTGCCACACTGGTTTTTGGGCAGGTTCAAAGGATTTAGGGGATTGGGTCATACTTCTATACAGTAAGCTTGATCCAAAAACCAGGCAAAGCTATACAAGTCACATAGCACAGCAACAATTCAGTTTTAAAATGAACTTTTTGCAAAGATGCTAATCCTTTTCAATATAAATAAATAAAAACATAAGGAATGGGTCCTTATAGTACACATGGGCCCTTATGGGATCCCATCCTTAATGAGATTTACTACGGCTTGAAACTACTCAAATAAATAATTTTTTATGTTATATTCCTATTTCCAAGGCAGAGAAAGAAGGCGAATTACAGCAGAAGCAAAGAATTCCTGGTGACATCTCTCTGTAGTGTTGGAGATGGATGAGAAGGTGCTCAAAGACAAACCAGCCCTGGAAGCCAATCCCAGCTGTGCAGAAGGATAACCACAAGCTGTAACAAATCTTCCTTTTGCTATTAGAGTTGAAGGGATACTGTTCCAAAAGCATCAAACCTACTCCCAGACCATCTCTTAATTAGGCAGCACACAGCAATGCAAAATTTGAATTCCAGCAGGTCATCTCCTACCTTGCCAAGCTACATTACTTGGCAGAAGAGTGATGCAATGAGAAGTCATTACTCAAGAAAATGAAATCCAATTTATTCACATGGCCTTGAGCATAAAATGTTATGCAATTTGGAGATGCCTATGCAACGTGACATAGATTAGTACATATTTCTCTTTCTGTATTGTTTCTAAATGGATATCTTGAAAACAAATATAAAATCCAAGCTCATTAACACCTCTGGCTTCTTTTTAAACCAGTCATTCTGAATTACCATCCTCAGATATGCAAGTATTATTCTCCTTCTCACACTGTGAGATATGGGTGAAAGGGCAAGTCACACAACATAATTAAAACCACTAAACACTGAAATTCAACAGGCTTAGAGTGGGATTTTTTTGATGCAAAGTACCACAACAAACAAACAAACAAGGAAACACAACAACAAAATCAGCTGCTAGAGTGTTGTTTGTGAAGTAATATTGAAAAAGATCACTTTTAAACAAAGTTGCCTTGCAGGTTAACATTCCTGAAAGTGTAAAAAAATCCCCTTTTTGTCTATCTCATTCTTTAAGGTCACTAAATTCAGACCATATGAATAGTAAAGTTAGCAACTTAGCTCCCTATTTATCTATTAAAACTTCTGTAGAGCTCATATGGAAAATTTGTCTACAGCTAAAAAACAACTGAAGTGTAAAAAGCAGCTGCAGGGAAATGATGTCACTGCAGCCAGAGCTGGCTGTCAGCACACTGGCACCAGGAAGATCCTGAGTTATTGTTAATCTCAGCTTTTGAGCCAAATATCCTATTGGGAAAAACAAATCAAAAAAAAAAATAAACCCCAAAACAATCCCCCCAAAAACCACAAAGAAAACTATATAGATCTGTTGCCAAATCTTACTCTCACTGAAGCCTCAGTGGCAATTTTCAGGAAGATCATGACTTCAAACCTGGCATTTTGTAGTAATTTCTTTTTGTACAGAACTGGCCCACTGTTATGAGTGTAAATGGGTGCATCTTTCGCTGCTTTCCTCCACCAAAAACACAAGCAGCAAAGCTATGCAAAGCAGTTCTGCTGTTTTCCTCAGTTTTGCAGTTTTTCTGTCCTCTCACAGGCAGAGTCCCAGAGGACTTCTTTTTGCTGATTTTGACTGTTACTTATGGAAATGTAGGTGATGAGAGGACAGACATCAGGTTGCTGATATTTCCACAACTATCACCTTCAAAATGGAATTCCATTGCCAAAAGGTACCTGTTGCCAGTAACTATTTTTATTTTACAAGCTGCTTAAGGACACATTCTCCTAATTTTTTATTCTATGTGGTCATGCATTCTTATTTTGAGCTAAAGACAAGCGGAGGAGAGGTGTCCTAACTCTCTCCAGGAGATCCTTCTCCATCAGAGGGAAATGGGGAACAAATACCATTCTGGAATCCTAAGGGACAAGGGTTCAGGTTCAAATCCTGTGGGTGTTTCCTAGCAATGCTTCAGCAGGTTACAGCTTTGCACACAGATCCTGTGACAAGCCAGGTCCCAAGAACCCCATTTGCATCATCTTTTGGCTGCAGAGATTTCTGAAGTTTGTCCCTCAGAAATCAAGGGCTGCCTTCCCTCCTCTCCCATAGAAAGAGGCATTTGCAAAATGAACAATAATGACAACTGCCATACTTCTTCAAGATGTTATATTCCTTCCTTATCAGTAAAATATCATCAAAAAAGTAAACACTTTCCAACAAGTTTTCACAGTACTTAAAAAATACCCTAAAACTCATATTTTAACAGATTAGGATGAAAGGATGTAAAAAATGTAATGTAAGTATATACGTAATATATGTAATAAACATATACAAGTAATATATGTTTATTTAGCTAGGTGCATCACAAAAAAACCCTATTTCATAGCACCTACACATCTGCTAGACCTGAATTATAACAACAGCCATAACCTGGAAACAAGCTGAAGAAATTGTTATACACAAACATTGTGAGTAATACACAAACATTAGACAAAACAATTCTTCCCAGACAATTTCAGATTCCTCACTATAGACATATGCTCACATGTTCCAAGAATATTATATTTAATTTTTAATGGAAATGTGTGTGTATGGAGAAAGAGAATTCAAAATGCAACTGCTGCCTTTTTGCTCCTAGATCACATACTGGATTATGACTCTACGATCCCAAATCAAGTGTTAGTTTTAGTGCTGCCAACACAACATCATAATGCAGATTCAATAAATAAAATCACCCTATATTTTCCCCATAAACCTGTCACACAGACCCCCTCAAAATCCTGAGCCAGCAAGTCTGTTTTAAAACTGAATTGCTGACTGCATATCACTGGTATACAACAGCAAAAAGCACAACATGAGCGGTTTGTCACCAAGCTCAGCTAACTTATGTGGTAAGAATATGCTCACTGACTAAACAACAAACTGCAATAAAAAGATGCAGCAATAATGCAGAGCAAACTCTACAAAACTGCTGAAAATCATATTTTCGTGAAATATGTCAGCAAACTTCTCCAAAACATTTGACATTGTTTTACTCACACATTTCACGGTGCTTCAGCCTACTTGAATTGAAGCAGTGCGTGAAATTATCTCTTTTCTTATAGCTGTGCACGTTTTTCCCTGAGTAATTAGCAAGCTACATGCCCTTTGACAGAGGGACACTAACAAGCTCCTACAGTTTCCAGTGGGACAAGGAATCCAAAGCTACTAACAGCAAACAAGTCATTTAAACAAAAAAAGGATTACAAAGACTCGTTGCAAGTAGCTGGAAACTCACCCATATTTCAGATTAAGGCTTTCTGAGGAACTCCTTTGTGAAGAGTTTTGACTCCATCTTACAAAACTATTCTGTTGTTTTCCTTTATAAACCAAAACACTGATTTGTTATCTACTAACAATTTCTTCATATTGAAAGTAATTAAGCACTAGAAAGATGGAGAAGCGTTTTCCAAAGGGAAAATGACGGAAAACTCAGTTTTGTTACAAAACCTCCCTCCGGCGATCTCAAAGTTGAAAGAAAACAAAAGTTATACAAACTTTTTTAAAAGTTTTTCCATTCTTTGCTACCAGGCCAACAAAACAAGCTGCAAACTAAGCCAGAGAGCAGCTTATTTGCAAAACTCGGTCGCCAAAAACGCTTAGAACCACGTCCCTGTCAAACAAAGCGGGTTTTGAGGAGCTCCTGAGCGGAAAGGTGCGTACCTTGAGGACCTCCATGGGCACCTGGGTGGCAGGGGGCAGGCTGGTGGGCACGCTGACGTTGATGGCAGGTGTCTGGCTCACGGGCACTCGCTGCTGCATGAACTGGGCTGCCTGCTGCTTCTGCTGCTGCTCCCGACGCTCCTGCTCCTGCATCTGCTCACGCATGAGCTGCTGTCGGAGCAGGATTCGTGAGGTCATGCTGGAGGAGCTTAAGGGAGGCTTGGAAGCGCCAGGATGCTCGGAATTGCTGTGGGAAGACCAGAGAAAGACAGCTCAGCTTCCACCAAGCGGGATGGCAGCTCCGGGGGCCGGAGCTGGCGCAGTTACGGGGGAACGTGGGGCGCGATGGGTGAGGATCCGCGGCTCCGCGCGAGGGGAATTCAGAGCTGACCTACTGCAGGTACTCAGCGGCCACCTTAGGCTGCCTTACCCTGACTGCAGCCAAACCATTCCCCAAACGCCAACATCCAGCTGTAAAGAGCCATTTGCTCTTTCAAATTTTACAGCAACCACCCACGAGAAAAACAAATGCGTTTATAGACAGTAGTAGGCACATTTATTCCTTTTTCATTAATAATAAAGAGCTGAAGCAAGTCTAATGATTGGTATGGATAACACTCCAGCCCAATGATCTAACTCAAAGTAAAGTAAATCTACCTCTCCCATGAAAACACGACAAAACATAGCTCAGTTATTCCCTGCATAACACTACTTTAGGGTTGGGCTTGCTAGCAGTGACTTTTCAGAGTCAGAAAAAAGATCTCCACCAAAAACCCAACTACCACCCCAGGCCTACCACCATCTTCTGAGCACTTCCAGATACAAAAGCCAGGCAAAATAAACAACAGTAACAGCTTTATTCCAGTCATACTTTACAAAGAGCAACAGGCTGGCCCAAGCCAGCAGACAGCTCAGCTTTACCACCTAAGTGACATTTCTACACCATTGGCAAACAGACCACAGGACTTCACCATGGACACTTTCTAGAGCAACTCATCCTTTTTTCAGCCTGCACAACCAAAATCCATGGGCCATGCCTTGGCAAGCCAGCACTAACCCTCCTGGCTCTAGGAGGAAACTGCTCTTGAAATCCCCACCTCTGGCTCCAGTGCTGATACCTGTGGGATGCTGGCAGGACACGCAAGTCTGGGAGCCAGCATCCCTTCCAGGTCCTGCTGCTTGTGCTGTGACAAGCAGAGCCAGCACTGCTGGAAGTTTTCTGGCTTTGTTTAGGACTGATGTTGAACACAGTTCAGGGCAGAAACAAAAAAGAGAACCCACGCCTACTGCCCCAAGAGATCAAACTCTGCTCTTCCAGAGCACACATTTTGGGGGCAGGGAGGCAGGGGACCATCTTGCTATTTAAGACCTGTCATGTTGAAACATTCACAGAGACACTGATCCTTTTGATAAAACAAGAGAAAACCTTTGTGGTGAAACTAATGCAGCTGCGGAATAATCGTACTAATTAGCTGCTCAAGACAAGTCATTGACTGTGATACTTGTAAAAAACACTCCCTTTTCAATTAAGGGTGAAGCATTCTCACATCTAAATCCAGCAGCTTGTTTTCTGGCTGCACATCTGAACCACTTTCACATTTCTAAACCCAAGAGATGCTTTATTTCCATGACCAAGATAGTTATAGATGAGTGGTCTCCCAATTGTTTTGATTATGCATTCCTAGCAGGAATGTCTGAACATGCATCCTCAAAATGTTTACTTATTTATTTATGAACTATATACATGTACTGCTGAAGTGCTCACATTTTCTTTCTGCCCACTAACAACACTGTGCATCCCATCTCAGAGACCACTGTAATACATGAGGAAAAAAAAGCCACCCAAATGCTGCATTCAGGGAAGGATTCATTCTCCTCAGGTTGGAAAAAGGCCAGTTTTGTACCACACTTGTCAGCATTCTCATTTGTGTGCTACTGGCAATTTTTACAGATACCTAATGTTGCAAAATTGGTAACCCAGCAGTTCCTCCCACCTTCTTTCATTTTGAACTGTTTCTCCGCCTACCAAAGCCAAGTGTGCTGGAAACCATCTCAGAAGAGCCTTTCCATATACAAAAATGTTGGGGAAAGAGAGGGAGCAGGAAGGAGAAATTACTTCCACAGCATTTCAAACAGCTCCTGCCAGGAACCTCATCTTGCTCACACAACTACTTTACCTACTTGCACCAAGTGTACTTCCATCTTCCTGCAGGTGATTCAAGGCTCTACTGTTGATCAAAAACTGTAAACAAAAGCTTCAAGTATTGTGACTTTTAATGAGATGGCAGTCCCAGAAAATGCTGTTCTGCCAAATTCTTCCCCAAAGGGTGAAGATGCTCCCAAGCTTCATTTCCTCTGCAATTCTGCTCAGTATTTCACATGGCAAAGAGGCAGACGAGCCCTGAACACAGCATGGACAGCCACGTGCTGCCAGACTGCAGCTACTGCCACAGCATCATGGAATTGTTCAGGTTGGAAGAGATCTCCAGGATCATCAGGTCCAACCATTAACCCAGCACTGCCAAGCCCACCACTAAACCACGTCCCCAAGTGCCACATCTACGTGTCTTTTAAATACCTCCAGCAATGGTGACTCAACCATCTCCCTGACAGGCTGTTCCAGTGCTTGGCAACTCTTTCAGTGAAGAAATTCTTTTTAATGTTCAATCTAAACTTCCTCTGGCACAACTTGGGGCCATCTCCTCCTACCCATTACTAACTGAGCAAGGGAGATGGGCACCCAACCATCACACCATCAGTGCAGGTGAGTCCAAATAATGCTTGCTCTGGAATAAAAGCTGCTGCACAACACCTGCCTGCCTAACCAGATGCTTCTGTCACAAGCACTGGGAAGGAACATGGACAGATTTCCTGTTATTTATTCCCAGGTGTCTGCAAAGCTCCCCCTGTGTGCATGACAGTCTCCCACACCAGCATCCTTCTACCTGCCATGAGTGGCACTGATCAAACACTTTGAAACTTCGGTATCTCATCCTTTGAGTCTGTCCCATGCATCACACAGGTCACTCTCCCACCCAGCTTCCCTTCTGCACCATGTCTGCTCATCTCAAGCACAGAATAGAAGGAACAGAAGATGGTTTGGGTTCCATGACCATGTTGTCAGAAACTCACTTTTCCAACCAAAGAAGCCATTAAAAACTTGTTATTTTCTAAAGTTTCATCCAGAGAGTTTTGAAAATTGTCGTTTTTAAAGCTTCTTGACCCTTCCATGCTGGTGCAGAGGCAGATGTCCCGTGACCACGCTCGGTGCCACGTACCACAGAACAATCCAGGGTGGACATGTGGATCCAAAACTCCCCTACACGAACTGATTCACCCCCAGATTACGTGGAGCCAGCAGCAGAGCCCACACACAGCTAATACACGATGCAATTCAGATACTTCCTGCAAACAGTTTATGGAAACCATCTAATTGCAATAAATGAAACCGACTCATCCTTTTAATTGACACATGATTAAACCAGTTATCCATTAGCACTCTAATAAGCACAGTGCAATAGAGACTGGGAGTTATTAGTTATGTGTCATGAGCCAATCCAATTAATCACGAAGTGATAAAGCTTTATTAAATAGTTTAAATTACATATCCTTTGCACAGATGCCTGGGAAATGTTAGCTACTGCATACATGAGTTATTATGCAGCTAGCCATTACATAATAAAAGGCAACTGATCACATTAAAATCAAGTTTGATTTTGTTGCCATCGACCTACAGAGACCATAACCTTCCCAGATGTTTACTGATTATTTTATCTGTCCCTTTAGGCAAAAACACAAACTCATCTTTCGTTGGACAGTTTTGTTTTCAGATTCTATAAATTCACCAAACAAATGCTCTGGTTCACATGCATTAGTTATGAGTTATCTGATGTACTTGCATTATTTTTGCACTATCTATGCATTGATTAAGAAACTTCTCTGGAGACTTTGAACTGGAAAAAATATAATTAACTCAACTTTGCTTTTTAACTACTTTGGAAACTTTAACTACTTTTGAATATTTTTAAGAAAAAAAGTCTCCAATGTAATTTTTCTTATACAAATTAGACAAAGAGCCTTCAAAGCCACTTGTTCTGGGCAGGATGGACTTCCCTGCTCTTAACTGAGAAATGGCACATAAGAGGGAGGCTGCTGCTCTCTTCCCTCCATTCACGCCAAGTGTTTGTTAATGGGTTAGTCCACAGAGAAATCAGCCAAGAAAAGCAGATTTAGCACCTCAAGAAATCCACTGAGCTGCATCAGAGGTAAGAAATAACACCGGATTTAAACGCTTTTGTTTATGTCTTACCCTTATCCCATTCATAATTATTCATAAATAAAATAAAGGTACCCACATTTGAGTTGTAATGTTGGCAACCTCTCATCCCCTTGCTTTAAAGATTAAGCTATAATGGTGGCTACTTAAATACTTGACCTCCAGAAGCCATTTTCAGAGGAGACCACCACTCAGCTCCCAACATCACTTGTAGAAAATTACTAGAGTTTCTTGAACATTAAAGTTGATCTCTACAAATTCTGTTTTCAATCTCTCTACCAAGCAGTAAAACCTCAAGAAACTTTCTGTTCCCTGTACTGCGGCTGAAGCAACAATGTCTATATTAGCTTCTGACCTGCTAGCCAGCAATGCTGTTTGCCTCAGAAAGAAGTGACAGAAAAGTGAAAAATAGCAAAAGAAAATAAAATAAACGCAAGGAGGAGCCAGATTGCACACACCACCACCACTCCAAAAAAAAGTCTAAAACAAAACACAAAAAGTCCACAAACAATAAAAAAACCCTACACAATCCCTTTTCCCCTTCAGCCAAGGTAAGGGACTCCAACTACTACAGCATTTTCCCTGGAGCACTTTGTACCTCATTCCTAACATTTAATAATTGATTGTGGGTTACAGCGACGCTCCGCTCACCGCCAACTGCCTGGCGCTGCTTGAAGTATCAATGCAAAAAAAAACAAGCTCAAGATTTGGCACCCTCCTACGTCCCGGCTTGCCAAGGACAAAGCAGTTACAAAAACGGTGTGGAGACCTTTATCAGCCTTTATAATAAAGCCAGGACTGCGTTTCAGGCTCCTACATGAAAGGTTTCCGCACTTGAAGGTTACACGTTTAAAGAAATAGGCTGCCTGTCCCTGCTCCATCATCGAGGTAAATGTTCTCTGTGCCTCCTACAACGCTTTTGTATCCTGACCTGCACGGCTTGCCCTGCACCATGGGCTGCACCCACAGAA